CGGCCCGTAGCCATTTTGGCTCAAGCCCTTTTTTTCCGCAGCGCGCCCGCGCTCCGCCCTCGCACGTTCGCCCCCCGCCGCTCGGGCGCCGATGGCGTTCCGCTGCCTCGCGCTGGCCGCCCTGGTGGGCGGCGCTGCCGCCTTCGTGCCCGCGGCCCCGGCCGCGGCGCGCGCCGAGCCCGCGGGCGTGGCCCAGCGCACTGGGGCCGCGCCTTCGGGAGCCCCCGCGGCCGATGACGCCGCCCCGTGGTCGACCTGCCTGGTCGGCGGCGCGGCTGTGGGCTACGCGGTCGCGGCGGCGAGCGCGTTTGGCCGCTCGCAGCGCACCGCGGCGAGGGCGGAGGCGAAGCCGCAGATTGCGGCGGCGAGGACGCCCGTGGCCTACCCGATCTTCACCTTCCGCTGGCTGGCGGTGCACATGCTGGCCGTGCCGACCGTCTTCTTCTTGGGCGCGATCAGCTCCATGCAGTTCATCCAGCGCTGAGCAGGCGGCCTCAGGGGGGCGCGCGGGTGCCCCGGTGTGGTGTTTTTGGTGCAGAGGCGGCGACGGGGGGGGGCTCGCGGCGGCCGCGGTTCGCCTCCATACGCCGGCGCGCGCAAGAAAAAGAGAACCTCAGGACGGCCCAAGGGAGGCTCCAGATTCCCAAGAGAGCTCCGAGAGGGCCACAGGAGGTCTCCAAGAGGGTCCCTGAGGGACCCGAGAGGGCCACAAGACACCCCTAGCCCCCCAAGACGGCCCGAGAGGGCCCCAGGACGGCCAAAGAGGGCCCCAAGACGGCCCAAAAGAGCCCCAGAAGCACCCCCAGGAAGACCGGAAAACGCAGTGTCCATTTCTTTTCGCACAACTATTTGCTAGACTTTTGCATGTCGTGCCAAAGCCTTGACACCAACAGGGCTCCAAGACACTAAGCCAACGACCTCGCACCCACACAAAGTATACGCACTTTCCGTCCCCGTGCTGAGCAGGTGACGGAAAGCGCGCGTGGCGTGCGATCCGTTGGCCGGAAGGAATTGAACTAGGGGGGTGCAGAGGGGATGGCATCCGCAGCCCGTGGGTTTAATGGCCCTAGTTTCCTCCCAAGAGGCCTCCAGAGGCCTCAAGATAGTCGTAGACGGTCCAAGACGGCCTCCAAGACGGCTCCGGAGGGATCAAGAGGCTTCCAGCTTCGCCCGAGATGCGTCCAAGACGGCCCAAGACGCCTCCAAGACGGTCCAAGAGGCCTCCAAGGCGCCCCAAGAGGTTTCCAAGGGGCCTCCCAAGAGGGCCAACAGAGGCACACATCATGGATTTCTGATGGTTTTTGAATGGTTTGTACGGTTCTCGCCTTTTCGGCTCCCCGACGCTCCAAGATGGCCCCAGAGGCCAGATCACTCCACGACGGCCCAAGAGGCCCCCAAGACTGGCCCAAGTCGGCCGAAGAGGGCTGCCAGACGGCCCCAGGACGGCCCCAGAGGTCTCCGAGACGGCCCGAGAGGCCCCAAAGACGGCTCCAAGGGGGTGCCCAGACGGGGTGCCCGCACGGTCTTTTCTGGCCCTCGGCCCCAGGGGGCCCCAAGAGGCCCCTAAGAGGCCCCCAAGAGGCACGCGAGGAGCGATGAGAGGGAGGAGGAGGAGGAGGAGGAGGAGGAGGAGGAGGAGGAGGAGGAGGAGGAGGAGGGACTGTTGGGGACATCTCGCACTACGGGTTCAATTCAATTTTTCATCGGTTTGAGATACGCATAACCAACACCCCCACAAAGGCGCGGAGAAACCACACCGATATATTCTCGGAGCCCCCGAAGAGGCTTCCATTAATCCCCTGATGATCATTCCAGGAGATTCCAAGAGGTATCCAACACGCCTCTCATTCATATACCGTTGGTTTCATTCGCCCTACCTGCGGTATCAATAAGCATCAGTTTCCTCCCAAGAGGCCTCCTGCGGTCTTGAGATAACCAAGGACAGCGCCGAGATGCCACCAGGATGCCCAAAGAGACCTTCTGGATGGGAAGACGGGAAGATAGAGGGGCGGAACGGACAGGCCAGCGATTTGCTGCGTTCTGAAAACAACTACGCCTTCCGTCCCCGTGCCAAGCAGGTGTAATGGCCTTCGGCCCATCCCGCCACCGTGCCTTGGTTTTTGGGTATGAAGCCTATTGGATGTTCGTTGGGATCTCGTGGGGAGCCTCTCGGGGGCCTCTTGGCGGTAGTTTGGAGGCCTCTTTAGGGCCGGTTCGGGGCCTGCTGGGGCTTCTTTTGGGCCTCTTGGGGCCTCCTGGGGGCCTCGTGGGGCGGAAGGCCAGATTTTCGGTTCGTGTTCTGTCTCTTGGGCCCCTTCTGGGGCTGTCTTGGGGCCCTCTTGGGGCCCTCTTGGGCCGTCTTGGAGCCCTCTTGGGCCGTCTTGGGGCGCTCTTACGCCGACTTGGGGCCCTCTTGGAAGCCTCTTGGGCCGGTATGGGGTGGTCTTGGGGACCTCTTGGGCCGTCTGAGAGCGCCGGAAAGCCGAAAAGGCGAGAACGCCCAAGGCTTTCAAACTGAGGCAATTCAAGATGTTTGCCCCTTTGGGGCCCTCTAGGGAGGCCTCTTGAAGGCCTCCTGGGTCGTCTTGGAGGCTTCTTGGGCCGTTGTGACGTCATCTTGGGCGTCTGGAGCCAGCCTTTGGGCGTCTCGGGGCCCTCTTGGACCGTCTTGGAGGCCGCTTGGGGCCCTCTTGGCCCGTCTTGGGGTCTTCTTGGCATCGCTCGGACGTGTGCATTTTTCTTTCGGCGAGGACCATCGAGGAGCATCCTTGATCGTTTGGCGAAAAAACCACGCGCGAAACCGAAAAAAGCACAGGGAATGGACGTCCGAGCGATGCCCAGTCTGGGGCCCGGCAAGGTCACGCGGGGAAGCGCGCCGGAGCCCAGGGGGCACGCGGGAAGTCCCAAGAGGCCTCGGAATCGGGGGTCCGGGCCCTCGAAGACTCCGCAGGGCTGAGGACTGAGGCTCCAGGGCTCAGGCAGAAGGACTTCAGAGCACGCCAACTCCGTGCCACATGTTTGTATAGTTATATCTACGCATGCATGTATGTTTGTATGTATGTACGTACGTACGTATGTATGTACGTAGGTATGTATATGTGTGTATGTATGTATGTGTTTATGTGTGTACGCATGCATGAATGCAGGCAGGCAGGCACGCATGCATGTATATATGTATGTATGTGTGTATGTATGTCGGTATGTATGCACAT